CTGGTACAGTGGAACTCAAGACTCAACAAAGTGGTCGGACCTGACTTTCAGTTTTGTTGAATCTGAGTTTTCTTTATAGCAAACATGAAGCATTTGTGTTGATAATTACGGGCACTGAGAAAGTAATGTATAATGTATTCGACTTCCTCAATCAAAAGTAGTTTGGTTTAAAATGAGAGGCATTTTTTGTTTCTTTGAGGCCAAACGGAAGATATGTTGAAAAAAAATCTAGGAAAATACACTGAACTATACAAAATACACGCTGTGCAAAAGGGTCGATTCCTTCAAATGCACGCCTGTGTCATCTGTCATCTATGACTTATTGTTTGCCGAACAAGTTGGGTTGCTGTATAGAGCCTAGCATAAGGCAACGTTTGATTCTACAGACCATTGAGCAATTCATTGCGTAGCAGAGACCAGCTTATCATTTTAATATTATCAGAAGCCGAGGGGGAAATGCCTGTAAGTACTGTGATGCGTTTGTGTCTCTACTGATTTCTCACGGTCCACGCCCAAGACTGCATGTTCCCACTCCCCCTCTCCTCCCCCTCCCCCCACTCCCCCGACACACTCTCTCACATATACACGCACACACACAGAGAGAGAGAGAGAGAGAGAGAGAGAGAGAGAGAGAGAGAGAGAGAGAGAGAGAGAGAGAGAGAGTCCGACTCCAATACACGCTGAGACACGTGTGTGTGTGCTAACAACGCGTTTGTTGGTATGAAGAAGGCCGCTGATTCATCTCATAAAATATAAGCAATAGCCTAAACGAAAAATGGTTCACGATGCTGTTGTCAAGGATGGCTTCCAGGAATTGATAAAGTTCGTTGCAGGAGAAAAAGGATCGAAGCCACGCCACCGGGGGATGTTTCACACTGCAAATGACTTCGTTGAATCCGATCTTGCTTGTAAATATGTTCGTTGAAACCGAGTTTTTATGAATACAAAATAAACGGGGAAATTAAGGTTCTTACGTTGAATCCAAGTTTTCGTGGAATCTGAGTTCGTCGAATCCGAGTTTCACTGTATACATCTGAAATGAAGGCTAAAACTCCAATAGTCTAAAGCTGTTCATAACTATCAAAATAGTGTTAATTTCTAGCAATACTAGTCAGTGACCATCCTAAGTTTAATTTACGGTATAAAAAAACCCAGCTGTGTACTTCCGCTCGTGCGTTCTTCAATGTAATTTAACAGAGTTGGGCCGGGCACTGCCAAGCAAAAAAAATGGGTCGGGGGTATGCTCTTAGGTCTAAATGACAATAATAATATGATTTTTTGTGGAGTCTGCATAGTCCTGTTCTGTCTGGGTCATATCATTGTTTCTATGGTACTTTTTGTTTTTAATTGTTGGTCATGCATTGTAATGTTATGCTGTTTAATGTGTTCTGAACTATGCATGCAGATGAATGTGGAAAGCAGTAATTTGTCTCAGCAGCACAAAAACATTCTCCTAAGACCAAAAACGTGCTGTAAAAGGAAACGGTAAACGCATTCCTCATCTCGTTTTACTAAAGCCGTCTTTCTTTCCCTCCTTCATTTTCTTCCTCGCTCCCTCCCTTTTACATGGATCCTTTTTTTTTTTCAAACGCTGCCTGTATGCTGGTGCTTTAATTAACAATTCTAACTGTTTTAACTGTTCTAACTGACAGATGAAGCAACATGTGTGAACGTTCAAAGTAACATAATTATAACGTAATAACTTAGTAAAACGGTGTGGCGTCGTTAGCCTAGTGGTTAGGCTACTGGACTCGTAATCGTGAGATTGGGGGTTCGGGGTTCGAGCTCTCAGCACGAATTTCACACTTGGCTCGGTCCTTGCGGAGACGGACGTTAAACTAGAAGGTCCCACCTCTTAAATAACCTAACAGTGTTGATAGGGACGTTAAACCTATACCATTTCACCATTTCATTTAGTAAAACAGCCACACTATCGTGATGTATAAATCACAAGTGAGCAGCTTGGATACCCCATGAAGCTATACCCCGCGCTACGCCCTTGTAAGGTCAAGGCAAATGAATCTTGTAGCTAGGGCTAGGCAATGAGTCGCTTTAGCAAAATCCGGATAATAAACTAGTGCACCTCTTTGGCAAAGTGTGTTATGAACCGCTTCGGCAAATGGGTTAGAATCACTTCGACAAACGGGTTAGTTAAAGCCACCTTAAAGAATAGGTGCATCCACTTCGGCAAAAGTGTTGGGAAAAAGAGTTAAGAGTCTGAATTCGGATAATGTTTTATTGAGAATTATCCGGTTATCCGGATAGGTTTATGGGATTTTGCCCACCACTACATGTAGCTTCGGGTAGAGAATAGTGGCCTTTATTGTTTTATTGTTCTCAGTACAAGAGGAACGGGATCATTATATATTTCACAAGACGATTCGGTACAGAGCTAGATGAACCCCAAATAATATGTTTGTGTGTTGAAATATTTACAACTTGGAGCCTTGATTTACGAACCCAAATGTGTGGTGTCGCGGTGCAGCAGCTCGTCAATACAATGAGGTCGAAGAAACCGACATTTTTCCATACTTTGGGCAATTTTTGTCTTTTCTTTTTTCAGCACCTCCAAAGTTCATTTAAAATGTTACTGGAAAAAAACGTTAATCAAAAGAGCACACAAAAATTTTAATTTGCAATTTCCAAGGCTTATTAGGTCACCAAACTTGGGCTGCCATTATCTGGCTATTTTCCTCTGAAACCAGGCGACCTCACCTCTTTCAAAAGCTAATACCCCTATTTCTATTGAAGATAGACGTGATTTTTTATTTAAAATACGAGACAAATGAATAAACTTTTAGATGATATCAATAACTCAATATGGGCTCAAAATTGAAGGGCGCTGATCCCACTTGTCGTGACAAATTGCGTTTTTCAATTCAGAAAAAGTCGAAGATAAAGATCTCATACTTTAATTTGAGACTAATACAATGTATTTTGCTATCCAGTTGACGCTAAGGAAGATTATGATCCTTGTTGAATTTTAATACAGATCATTCCATTTCTTCAAATTTTAAACTTCTAGAGCGTTTTGTGGCTTTGAAACGTGAACTTGGACTGTAGTGTGTAAGCAGAAAATGTAAAATTACACGCAGTTTGTGTGTGTGTGTGTGTGTGTGTGTGTGTGTTTGTGTGTGTGTGTGTGTGAATGTCTGTGTGTGTGTTTGTGTGTGTGTGTGTGTGTGTGTGCGTGTGTGAGGTGGAGGGATTAGTCCAGAAATTTGAGGGGGAAGGAGTGGGAGTAA